TCCCCACCAATGCTCTCTGGTGATGCCCTCTGGCTCCCATGGCCGCAGTCCAAGCTGGCAGCACTGGCAGCTGGTCAAGGTCACACCAGCTCCTCGGAGGCGGCTTGGACAGAGATCTGACACTCCTTTTCACCTTGCTCTGGCCCAGCTTAATCCTTGACCTTCCGAGGCTGCCGGAGAGGGTGACAGTGAGGGATGTCACCTGCCCCCTCCCAGCCGGGATTAAACGGGGCCAGTCCCCACAGCTCGGGGGCTGCTGCGGTGTTGGGGGTGCTGGGATGGGTTTAACTGCAGGGATGGGCCTTGGAGAAGTGGGTTCCCTGCTGTCACCCCTTCTCCAGCCCCCTCCCCTTCATTTTCATTTGGAGACCCCATTGTCCCCCCAGCCATCCGTGGTCGCTCTTCGTGGCTGGGGGTGAGGATGGCACTGGTCAGGGAAGAGGTTTGAGGCACTGCCCCCCCTGTCCCCCTCTTCAGACCACCAAAGCTGATCCCCCTCTGTGGCTTTGCTCCCCAGGTTACGGCCATGCAGCCCCCAGCACGGATGGGGGGAAGGTCTTCTGCATGGTCTACGCCCTGCTGGGGATCCCCCTCACCCTCGTCATGTTCCAGAGCCTGGGCGAGAGGATCAACACCTTTGTCAAGTACCTCCTCCACCGCATCAAGAAGTGCCTTGGCATGAGGCGGGCGGAGGTCTCCATGGCCAACATGGTCACCATCGGGTTCTTCTCCTGCATCAGCACCCTCTGCATCGGGGCGGCCGCCTTCTCCTACTACGAGCACTGGAGCTTCTTCCACGCCTACTACTACTGCTTCATCACCCTCACCACCATCGGCTTCGGGGACTACGTGGCCCTGCAGAAGGATGAAGCCCTCCAGAACAAGCCGCAGTACGTGGCCTTCAGCTTCGTCTACATCCTGACGGGGCTGACGGTCATCGGGGCTTTCCTCAACCTGGTGGTGCTGCGGTTCATGACCATGAACGCCGAGGACGAGAAGCGGGACGCCGAGCACCGGGCCCTGCTCACCCGCAACGGCCAAGCCAGCAGCATCCACCCCAC